CCCCCATTTTTCACCTCAATTTATAAGAAAACCATAAGGCCATCAATCTATAGAGTGCACTAAACACAAAATTTGACCCCGAAACCCTAATTTCAGGATCATTCATCGTTACCCAGGACCGAAAAGTGGGGGTCCCCGTTAACCAATGGTTATGCTCCTCCCCCTTATGGCGTGGAGGCCCCAGAAGATGACATTGATTACTTCCTTGAAGGAGGATGTACCGATCTTCACCCCTGCTTAAGTTAGCCTATTCTAGACTGTTTTTTCCTTAGAAGCTATGAGTGTTAGCTACTTGACTTTGCCGGAACTATCCGGCCTCTTTTCTGTTTGTTCCTCACTGACAATTGAGCCTATGGCGTGGCTCCGTTTTTCCAGGACAGAGGGTGTGACGGGCCCCTTTGCTCTAATTCCGGTTTCCTTTGGAGCAATTTTTTGCAAGTAATGTCTGAGGCTAAAACCCTAAACCCTGGATTACTGGTGGCGCGTTGACCAAGTTGGAGTAACGTTTGGAAGTATCGTCTGAATGCAAACTTGAGAGTAGCGTCTGGAGCGAAAAACCCTAAACCCTAGAGATCTAAGAGGCAGGTGACACGTTGACCGAGCTATTATCGGGAGCTTGGGCCGTGTATCTTGATGGGGGGTGGTGTGCTGGGTAATCGGTGTTAGGATTTAGTGTGGTGTGACTGACGTGGGTGTGTTGGGTTTGTGGTGTGGGCGTGAGACCTGGAGGATGGGAAGGTGTTTAGATTGGTGTGGGTGAGTTCGGGTGATGTTTGATGATGAGCCGTGGTTTAGGGGGGGGTGCGGTGGTAGGTGATTAGACTGGGTTGATAGAAAAAGTTCATAGGGCGGTATCTGTTCCATTTAGTGCGATGTGGGATAGGTTGTTTGTTACTGTGGGTTGTGTCGGAGTGGTGGGATTTTGGGTATTTGATGTGGGCATAACTAACCAGTCTTGTAGGCACAATCTTTCTCTTTCAACTGTTCCTAGTTTCCCGTTGCCTAGATTCAGGGAGATGAATTTATTAATGATCTCTTGTTTCTTATCTGAGGCATTTTGTAGGGATTGGAGTTTCGTGTATGTTCTGTTCCATTGTGCTTGGATTTCAGTTTCGACTGTCTGTTTAATAGATATGAGGGGGGGTTCAGGGGAATTACTAGAAACCTCGAAGGTTGTTGTGCATCTCCTTTTCCAGATAGCCCAGAGGGTCGATTTTTTGATGAGTGAGAAGAAGCAGCGCTGAAAACCTTTGAGGGGTGGGTTTTGTTCTACTTCTAGGAATAGGGTGCCTGGGTTGATCGCAATGGTTTTATTGGAGTGTTTGTTCCAGGTTAATTCTATAACGTGCCAGAGTTGCTTTGTCTTTCGGCAATCTATGAAGCAATGGTTGAGTGATTCTTCGAGTTGGGTGTTGCACACCGTGCACCAGGATGTTTGCTCAGTGTCATTATCTTTCTTTCTTCTTTGCGATAGACAGAGATTGACGGGTACTGCGCGAAATGTTATGAGCCATAGCAGACTAGCTTGCGGTGGTCTTGTGCAAAAGATAGAGGTCCATGATGGGTTGATGTTGACCGCTGTGATGGTATTTTCCTCCTTTTCCCATCGTTTTTGTATGATTGTGTGTATGGAGGGGGGGTTGTTGTGGAGCTTGTAGCCTAATTTGGGTGTGTAGTCAGTGATTGCAGTTTAGGCTTCTATTTTTTAAAAGTTGCTTTTCCCTCCAACGTTAAACCCTAAACCCTCATCCCTTATCTACTTATGGGGGGGTGTATAGCGTCAGTCCGGTTCCTATTCCACCAGCAAGTCAAAATTACAACATGAACACCCTCATGGACCCCTGAGCAGCATTGATTGCTCCAGCAGTGTGGAGGATTGACTGTCAGAAACTACACTTGATCTTAGACAAAAGAAATCTTACCTTTATGACAGAGGGCTATAAAAATCTTAACTTTATCCTGACGGTAAGACCGATGCTGCGACTCCATGCCATAAGGCCCTGTTTGAAGGGGGAAGGGAAAAAAAAGACTGACGCAGCGATTGATTCCTTAGCCACATTCTTGAATAAGCTCACTGGTGATGCACTTCTGAGTCAATTCTCTAATGCAGTGTAAACTCTGGCGATGACCGACCGATCGTGGCTTGTGTGCATCAGGTATGCCCTCACATCACCAACTTCAGCAAACTTGATCCTGTTAGCAAGACTTTGAGGCTGCGTGCTTTGCGGAGTTGTGATAGGGGAAAAGAATGCTATTTGAGCTATGGAGCACTGCCAAACTCACACCTGCTGATGTTCTATGGATTTATTCCTCGAGAGCCGAATCCATATGACACGATTCAAATTGGTAGGTATCATCTGTTCGCTGTCTTGCTCGACCCAAGGCAAAAAAAAACCTGGGATGCGAGGAACTAATGTCTTTTCTGCTTTAAAAAAAAAGAAAAAAGTATTTTGACTCTTTTCTGCTTGATGCTGAAGTTGCACGCGGACAGCAATCATTCCTTCCTTGCTCAGAAGCCACAGGCTGCACACACAAGTGAGTGGGCGAGTGCTTGTGATTTATATCTGAATGGGAGTAACTCACGAAGGTCATGCCGGAGTGCATGTGGACAAGGACTCATACATTTATCGTCTGCGTGGACGTGAGTGGATGAGGAGTCCTTGTGGTTTGTTCTGAATGGGAGTAACTCGCGAAGGTCATGCCGGAGTGCATGTGGGCAAGGACTCATCCATTTACCGTCTGCGTGGACGTGAGTGGATGAGGAGTCCTTGTGATTTGTCGGGACGGGCTGTCAGGAAGGTCATGCCAGCATGCATGTGGAGTGCTTTCATCTAGGTACTTCTTCTATGTGTGTCACTGCTGTCATGTATGGGTGAAGGGCTAAGCTGTGGCAGTCGCTTCGGTCGTCGGGGGAACGTGTGTTCCCTGTAGGTTGCCCGTGGAGAGGGTGTTATGACCCACCTTTAGGTAGGCCTCCACGGAACGGGGTTCCCCGCATGGTAAGACCCTAAAGGTGGATGATAACACCCCCCCTCCTCCCCCCGCCGCGCAGGCAACCCACAGGGGGACAGACACAGATTTACGGTCCACATGGGGGGCCCCCAGCCTGTCTTACCATTTGGTGGGCAACCCACAGAGGTGGGCAAGTGTGGTTAGGAAGAGCTCTTTTTTGACAAATTGATTTATATTGCATCTGTTTTAATTCCTCCTCCTTTTTTTTGCATGTCTTTTAAATTTTAAATTTTAGTTTTTAATTCATATTTAGCTACAAGCATTCATTTCTCTGAAGAGTCTGAACTTTCCTGGTACTCCCACGATGCTACGCCAGCCAGAGTCCCGTATGATTGGAAGGTTGTTGTGCTTCCTATACTGACCTGGAGGTGGAACGTTGCGTGTGTGGGGTGGGTGGGTGCTCGGGCCTGCGGAGGGTCCACTCGCTCCGATATTTTTCGTTTTTGTGAGGCCGGTTCATTCTTGTGATGTCTTCTGGAAATTGGTATGAGGGAGTTCGCGGCGTTTGTTTCGACAACTTGAAGTATCCAGCCAATGCGGCTGAATGGTACACGCATGCAATGTAACTGCTATTGAACAGGTCACAAGTTCGACTCCTGCTAGAATGGGGTTCATTTAACTTCATTACACAAAAAAATAAAGAAGAATTGTTTGGTCAAGAAGTCTTAGCTATGCTCTGAAGGGTTCCCGTGCTCTCTCTGTGCCTCCTATCGAAGAAGGGTTGTCTGGGCCGGAGGGCGCTGGAGGTTCTTTTCTGGAGGGTTTTCAATCTGGTACACCAAACTGTTGAAATGCAGACATGAGTTCGAATCCTGTGGGAACCAGATGAACAACATTCCTGAATTACCTGGGGCCGGTCAGTTTCACGGTGATATCTCCAGGCTGTCGCCCTTTCAAAAAAAAAAAAAAAAAAAA